TTAGTCTCAGACTTTCAAATCTGCCATTGCACAGACTTACAGTTTCTCAAACTCTCTGTCAATCATTGAAACGGTGTCAGGTAAATAATGTGCTTCCATAATGCGTCCTCCCTGTGCTTTCTGGTTGTAACTCATCTTAACAAGTTTATATTTTCAGTTTCAGTTGATTTGGATGGAACATTGCATGGAAGAAGTAAAGAACAAATGCAAAATATAGGTCCCATGATTGATTCAATATCCTCCAACAGCAGGCATTTTAATGATGAAAAAAATGTCTATGCTTCAAGGATGAAAGCTAATCATGGGGTGGATGCCTCTAGATTGGACTACAGATATGCAGCAGCGCTCTCCTCAAAAGAGCTCAACAAAGAAAACAGAAATTCTATTGAGGACTCAAGCAGCGATTCTGACAATGTGGTACTGAAGAAAACAATTTATTCCTCGAAAGCAGAGAAGGCGGCAAATGTGGGCGATGCTACTGCACATGCATCATCTGAGTTGCCTGTCAATGATTCTGCTGATCCAACTCTTCCAAGTGAGGTAGTCACTGACAAATAGTTCACTCTTTTTATATACATCTTTTATTGTGTCAACTTATTACAATTTTGAAGGGTATATTCTTTATGTATGACTAGATAATACTCTCTTTGTCCTTTAATAAACTTCATGCTAATAAACTTCATTTTAATTTAATATTGGTGTAAAATTAAAAAATAAAATTTACGTGTCAAAACTACATCAAAAGTTCTATAAAACAAGTGGTGACAACACTATTTTATTGTAACAAATCATTAATGTAAATAAAGAAAGATGATATAGCTTGACCTTGTGAATAGTGACTTAAGTTTATTTAGGGACGGAGAGAGTATGTGATATTGAGTGTTAATTTATATGCATATTTTCTCAAATTTATCGATTTGACCTTTTCACATTTGAATTAATTGTTAATTTTTTTTTAATTTTTCCCTTCATTTTGGTCTGTTTCTATTCAATTAATAATGTTCAGTCACTTTGTTAGCTTGTTTGTTGAATGCAGTGGATACCCCCAAATTTAAGTGTTCCCATATTAGATTTGGTGGATGTTGTTTTTCAGCTTCAGGATGGTGGGTGGATCAGGTAATTTAATACGTAGTACATATTTTAATATGAAAAGCCTTGGGCATCTTGGGATTAACGTTAAGAGCCCAAGTGTCTTTGTTCTTTTCTCTTTGAATTCCATTTTCATGGTTATAGATGCGGGGTGTGAATTTACTTTCTGAGATATACAGGAGGCAGGCATTCTGGATTGCGAAACAAGTGTTACAATTGGGAATGGGTGATGCCTTTGATGACTGGTTAATAGAAAAAATCCAACGTCTACGACTGGGGTCAGTAGTTGCTGCAGGAGTCAAGCGTGTTGAACAGGTATCTCCTGCCATTATATGTATTTAGTTTTAAAACTTTGAAATTTGTAGATTGAGCCCGTTGCAATTTTCATTATGTAGTTTGTGGCACATCCGCACATATGTCATTTTCTTTAGCGTCGCTTTGTTAGTAATGTTTAGATGTTTACGAACTTTTTAACGTCCATTGCCAATGGAGCTAAAAGAGTTTTTTTAAAAACAATTTTCTATTTTTGTGTATATAGACTAATTCAGTATAGCACATCAAACTTCCCTTGCTTTTGGGAAGTAGATGCAGCAAAGTATCAAGGGTCTAATGGAAGTAACCTCTTTGTTTTTTACAAGGGTAAGTTTGCGTGCATTTTGACCCCAAACCCCAACGCAGTTTGGGATTCTTGGGATTATCCTGGGTTTGTACATGTCTTTTATTAATGGGTAATAGAGTGGGAAATAAGTGAAGAGGAGAGAAAGGGAAACTGCATTTTTCAAATCCTTTCCATGATTTGGTAGAATGAGAATGTGATAGAATTTTTGGAATAAAATTGTGGGCCCCACAGATGATATGGAGTGTTCCCATGCTAAAATGAAAGGAAATGAATGAAGAGAAATACCTTGGAGTTTGTGCCACTCCTAGAATTGAATCAGAATCCCATTATTAATTACGGAGTATTATATTTATTTTAGTATTTTTTGACAATACCATATGTTAATTTTAGTATTTAACATACCATACCACTTTAATATTTCAATCTATTTCTTTACTTTTATCTCTCTCTGTTTCACATATTTCTCTTCTCTTATTTTCCTGTCTACCCATTTCATCTTCTTCTATTTCTTTTCTCCCTTTTAAAAAACAACCTCAAGCACTTGAGATGTTGCACTATGCACAGATTCTCTGGCCTGATGGTATATTCATAACAAAGCATCCAAGAAGACAGCGACCTATCCCAACCGCAACTCCATCCAGTAATTCACCTCATGGGACCCCTACTTTAACATCTGTGTCTAAGGTGGAGGTAATCCAGAATCCAGATGAGATGCAGCGGGTGGAAGATGAGAGACGTGCAAAATTAGTTTACGAGCTAATGATTGGTACACATTTGGGCTTATCATCTATACTGTTTTCTGCATTCCATACTTTGATCGTAAAATGTTCTTAGCTTGCTGAAGCTATCTTCCAGATAAGGCGCCAGCTGCTATTGTGGGTCTAGTTGGCCGTAAGGAGTATGAACAATGTGTGAAGGATCTATATTTCTTCATCCAGGTGATAATCTTTTTTCGGAAATTTGATTTTTTTTTCTGAATTCATTTCTTGATTCACACGTTTTGAATTGATGTCATCATCCTAGTGTGATCTCTTTTCCTTTTCATTTATTAGTATGTAAATATAGGGTCTGTTTGGTAACAGTAAAAGTCTGCTAAAGCTTGAAGGGATGAAGTGACTATTTTTTTCTGAAATGGGTTTCGGAAAATTATTGGGGTACCCCAACAATTGTACACCAAAGGCAAACATAGACGTTTTATGTCTGTTCGGGCACATTGTCTGTCTGTCTTTGGTTGTATAATTGTTGGGGTACCCCTAGCATTCCCCATGGGTCAATTAGAGGATATATTATATTACTCCTTCCATCCCAAAAACTTATTTTTGTTTCGAACAACGTGCAAAATGTCATCTATTTTTTAAAATGTTTTTATATACAAATTGGTATAGAAATAAACAGTATAACTTACCTTTTTAAAAAACTACATCAAAAGTTTTACAAAACAAGTGGTGACAAGAGTATTTTATTTTTTCAAATGACTAATGAAAAAGCACATGCAAACATAAGTTATCGGAAGCCTGGTATTGTATAACATGAAAAGTTCTTTTGGGAGGAAGGGAGTATATATATTTAAATAGTTCACTTTTAAGAATAGAATAAGGGCGGAAGTGTTAATTCCTTCATTTTAGCCATATCAGCCAAAACCTAACTTTTGGACAGCCTTATAATATCAGTAAACATCACAGTTAAATTCTCCTTCCATTCCAAATTTATCTTCTCATGTGAAAATGACACGGCACCTAAGAATAATGTGAAATTTGTAGTTGAAGTTTACCACACACTTTCCTTGAAAAGAGTGAGAAGATTATTTTAGGATGTCCAAAAAAGGGAAGTGGAAGATTACTTTGTGATGGAGGGATTAATTACATTGTGGAGTAAATTTCACAAATGGTCCTCTATATTCGGGAATATTCTACATTTAATTATAGAAGGCCATTATGTGAAATTTACCCTAGTTTTTGGGAGAGAATATGACCGACAAGCATAAAACTAGCAAGCCCAAACAGGCACGTAGCTGTGTTTATATATTCCATCTTATACGGTGCCCTTTTCCCTTGCAGTCATCTGTTTGTTTGAAGCAATTAGCTTTAGATCTCATAGAGCTGGTGTTGTCGTCTGCATTTCCTGAGCTGGATTACGTGTTTAAGGAGTTCCGAGAAGAGAAGGGAAAGTTTGGAGTACTTAGAGAGGACTAGTAGGGAAAATTTTGTTTTTGTTTTTCTTTTTCTTTCCCCCACTGTACAGTTTCAGGGCTGGCTTGCAAAAAAAAAGAAAAGAAAAAGAGCAATCTGCAAAAATATATCGATGTCTGTCTACTGGTTTGGTGCAAATTAATTATGAAGGGGAATAGATGTTTGATCTACTTAACAATTCTAAGAGAGCCATCATTTACTTTAGATTGATGCAAATACATGTTCGAGTACAACCAAGTTCATGTTTTTTTTTTATATAAATGTAATAGATACTTGTTGATATTTTTTCATAAATTGGAACGACTTGAAGCAAACTAGGAAAGGAAAAAAAGGAAGCAGAGCTGTTAGCTGTTAGTTTCGATGCCAAAAATCAATAACCGGAACAACTTTCTTTCCATAGCGCAACACCTATATTTGTGTTTGATGATTGTACATACTCTAGTACCGGAGTACATAATATATATTCTATCCCATAAAACTTTTCAAACACAAAAAAGATGCACCCTAAAATGTGTAATTTTGATATAATTTTTTTATTTTGTTTTACTCTCTTTGTCCCAAATTAAGTTCCTTGTTTACTCTTCACATGATTAAATTTCATTCACTTTTTTTGTCATTTGATAAAAATAAAATAGTCATGTCGTCACTAGTTTTGTAAATCTTTTGATGTACTCCGTAATATTTTGATATTTAATTTTTATTTTTTTAATTCTACACTTTTTCTATAAAATAATTTACAGGCAAACATCGTAAATCGAAAACAGACAATATAAATTGGGACGTAGTACATTTTTATACTTCATCTACCAAATTTGCTGTCTTTTTTGCATTTCTAAAAAAAGTTTAAACTTCTCTCATTTTCTATTTAAAAAAAATATACGTTGTTCACATTATTTTCGATTTCCCAAACAAATTATAACCACATTTTGACACTTTCATGATAAAAAAAAACTATGACTGTAATTATGGGTATGGCCTTATGGAAATAACTCGTCCATTTTAAAGCCATTTTGGAAAGGTTAGAGTTCTTCCAGCCTTCCAGCATATAAAGCCCAATTAAGAACGAAAAACGGAAACGTTATGGGCCAGAAAATAATGGCAAAGCCCATATCCCAAAGATCCACCTCGCAAAACCCCCCTTTATAAACGCCGCGTCATCTCTCTCTTCTCGGATCGTCATCGGAGGGTTTGAGACGGAGCTAGGGTTTCTGCAACTGCAAAGCAATGGTAAATCTCTCTCTCTCTATTCTCTGTAGTATCGATGATGGTAATCTATGAATGGTAACGTGTGAGGCGAGATCTGATGGATATATTGTTACGATGACTGGAAAAAAACACAGGGAAAGGGAACAGGGAGTTTCGGAAAGAGGAGGAACAAGACTCACACCCTCTGCGTGAGGTGTGGCCGCCGGAGCTTCCATCTCCAGAAGAGCCGCTGCTCCGCCTGCGCCTACCCTGCCGCCCGCATCAGGAAGTGTGAGTCTCCCTTTTCCTCTCTCGATTTAACCCATTTGATTAGTTCTGTTGCATCTCTATAATGTTAATCGGTGTTGGAATTGATCATTTTCTGTCGATTTGTTCGTGAATATGGATCAGACAACTGGAGTGAGAAGGCGATCCGTAGAAAGACAACCGGAACTGGCCGCATGAGGTACCTCCGCCATGTGCCCCGCCGTTTCAAGACCAACTTCAGAGAAGGTGTGTTTTTTGATTCACCATTTGTGTCTCAGGCTAGAGGTGTTAGATGATTGTTACTGTTTTTCTCTTGGGAATTGACTTCAATTTTGTTCTGCAATTTCAGGCACTCAAGCTGCTCCAAGGAAGAAGGCAGCAGTATCATCCTGAGTGGCTTTCGAGCTGGTATTTTGCGAGGGTTTCTTAATTTTGTATCATTTCAATTTGGTATTTGAAGTTTTAAAACAAATGAAGTTTTGGGTTAATGTTACTATTCCAATGCTACTTTCTAAGATTTGATTTTAGAATTTGGTCACTGATGGATGATGAAATGAAATGCACTTTTTCGGTTTAACAATTGGCTCCTTTAGTGTTTGAACTTCAATCTTTTTTGTTTATTTTAGCTTAATAAAATACTCGTAGAATTCTTCTGTTTAGGTACTGTCAGGTCTTTGTTTCTCATTTGTTCTCCTTATGTGGTCTGAAATCTCCCCATTAGCATGTTATTATGCTAATCTTTGCATCTCCTTACAGAATATAGTTCGATTCGAGATTAATTGCAACCATTTTGTTTTTAAGTATCTCACTTTTAAAATAAGCCACATGCCTACCTCATCCATCTTGAATTCTAGGAGGAATTAAGCTACTTGTACATCTTAAAGTTGTATTCCAAATGTTGTTGCGTTTTGGGTCAAATTTTAGATCCAAATTTGGCGCAATGAAATTGACTGGGATGTGTTGGTGACGTGGTGGGCTAGGGGGTTTATTTGTGGGGCTAGAGGGAGCAAGAATAATCAGTTTTACAATTGGAGCACTGTAGATATTCTAATTAAATTGGTTTAATGATGTTACGTGAATTTGGTTGGGGTAAGATTACCTCTTGTTAAAATGCTTCCAATTACATTGGTTTAATGATGTTGCACGAATTTGGTTGGTGTAAGATTACCTCTTGTTAAAATGTTGGTACATATTTTTGATGTATATTATGGGATACATTCTTTGCTGTTCCCCCTACTATGGCTGTACTTTGAAAGACTTCAATTTAGGCTCACCCTAAAATAGAAAAAAGCAAAAGTGTACCCCTAAAAAAGTTTCCTTCGTTCACAAATACCGGAGTAATTATTTATTGAGTGCTAATCATTGGAGTATTAGGGTGTAGAATGTAGGAATTATAATAAATAAGGCAAACTGTATTTGATGTCCTTTTAATCAACAAATAAAAAGCTATCATTTCTTTAACGATTTCATAAACTTCAAGTCCTCAACTACACGCATTTTAATTTTTTTTTTTGAGGAAAAAATTAAGATTACTGCATACAGTATAAAGTTGTTTTTTAACGAATTGAATTCTGTTATTTATCTGTACTCTTTGTAAACTTCAACCACGTTCACCTTTTATTAATTGTATATAGGTACATACCCCTTGGTTCCCATGGGATGACCCGGGGCGCTCCGGTGTTTCGTTTGTAAAATTGCTTCGGTGTTTCGTTTGTAAAATTGACGGTTCCTACCCCTTCTAACCCCTCACTCCGCCCCGACCCGAACACACCCCCCACCCCCTTCAATTGCACCCCACAAATCGACTTGTGGGGTGTAATTGAAGGGGGTGGGGGTGTGTTCGGGTCGGGACGGGGTGGGGGAGTTTACCGGAAGAGTTAGAAGGGGTAAGAATCGTTAATTTTACGAACGGGACACCGGAGCGCCCCCGGGTCATCCCATGACATTGGTTACCAATGTCATGGGAACCTTCCCCATGTAGATAATTGGTGATTTCCAATTGTTGCACGACATTCTTTATAATGGTTAAATATGTTTTTATTCTCTACAAACATAGATGGGTTTTTTTCATCTGTGTAAAATATCTTTTGTTAAAGTCATATTTACAAAAAAAAATTATCTTGAAAATGGTTTTTAGACATAATCAAGACTTCTAATTAGGTGAGATTATTATTTATTTCATAATTAATATTTTAATCTTGCTTTTCCTATTACCTTTGATATAATTTCCAAGACTTAAATTGTGTTATTTGCATTACATCTTTAATTTCTTGGAAATATAATATGTTAAAAATTTGAAAATTGGAGATGTTATTTTAAAGGGCACAACTTAAGACATGAAATTTGTGCCTGAAATAATTAGAAATGCTAAACTAAGCTTTTGAGTATAAAATAAATGTGTTATTTCAATAAAATAAAAATCTTACTTAAGTTTAAAGATGATTTTCAAAATAGTTTTTTTTTGTGAGAATAACTTGAACAAAAAATATTTTATATGAACCAAATACAAAACTAACTTAGTTTACGGGGAGTCGGGGACTTAGGGTCTGTTTGGGAATAGCGTTAGAGATTAGCGTTAGCGTTTTAGATAAAATTTTAACGGTGCAAATTACTTTAAAATGCTAACGCTAAACGCTGCCAGTAGATAGCCTTTTCAAAACGCTAACGCTAATCGCTAACGCTATTCCCAAACAGGCCCTTAAAATTTATTTTAACCTTCCTAATAAACGTGTGAACTAAAAATACTTGTAAACATTAGGACGAGATACTTTATGTAAAATAAATTAAATTTTAAAGTTTTTTCAATTTATTTTATATAAATATAAAAAATAAAACTTGTATATAAAAAAATGACATCAAAATTCCATTCCCTTCGTTTAGCAAATTACTTCATCTTTCATTTTTTCTCATTTATAAAAATACTTTCACTTTCTATTAAAAATCACTTTTAACCCTTATTTTTTCGTACTCTACCCATCACATTATATTTTTTCACTAATAATTTATCATATTTTATATTTACTTATCATATCAAGGGCAAAAATAGAAAGTCAACTATAATTTAATCATTCTTTATTTTGGCCTTTGGTCAAATTAGGAAGTGTTTTTCCCAAACGAGAGGAGTACAAAACATGTGATAAAAATATTTTATTATATCAGGTAATCATTGAAAATGCATAAATGAACAAATGTTTTCGTAATTTTTTAATAGTGAAGTGTGTTGTTTTTTTTTTGGGACAGAGGAAGTATACGTATGTTTCCAAAAAGGGGCATGTAACCATGTATCATGTATGCATTAACGCAGCCTTCACAACATTTCCAGTCTGTGTAAAATACACATGACCCAAAAAAGGACGAACTTCATCCCCTAAGGCCTTCCAAAACCAACCAGACAATCCCCTGACAGGAAGCGAATTGACTTAACAAAGAGGAAAGAATGATGTTTTTTTTTCCGGGGCCGCTCCACGGTGATGCTTGTTTGGGGGCGGAGAGAATTGAACCTCTATGAAGCCGAGGCGTAATAGCCATAGTTCAAACAACACACCCTTGCCGGAGGGATGGATCACCAAAGGATGAATGATATTCCATTTTGGTTCCATTGCACATCAGTGGTTGTCCGGTGCTAAGACATTATGCTCCATGAGGTGTCTTTGAAATAGAGCTAAACGATTCTGCATCCCCAAGATTGCATTAGCCTTCTGAGAAAGGATTGAGTTCAACCGAGAAATGTAATCATCTACCCGGCTTCCTGGTTGATCCGCCTCCACTAAAAGATTCATCTCCTGAATTATATGCAACCACAAACACAACCTCTCAGAATAGCATCAATACATTTTTTTCAATTAATTAGTAATTTTTTTGTACTGATATGCCCTTTCATAACCCTAACTTTATGAAAACTCATCATGTTACAGTCATATCTAGATAAATATCTCACAAAACAGATGGTTTTAAGGCTTGCATGTTAGTGTTAACACGCAATACATGTAATTTGCAATGTTTGGGCATTTAGAGCTTGTTCTTTTGGTCTGATCTGATTGGATCTGATATGATTTTATTAAGGTCTAGTTTGATCTGATTGTAGTTATACTCAAAGTTGTTTCTGATCTGATTTGGTGCGATTCCAATAAGAATAAATAATAAGTAATAAGAATAAGTTGAAGAGAAAATGCTCTAATTCACTTGATCAAAATTTAGTGTTACTGACCTGTCTAACAATGTCCATAGTTTCTTCTACTTGTCTCCTATGAGCATTAACAAGATCCTCTTCTTCCTGAAAGTATGTCAACACGGAGTTAGTGGGTTAAAAACTCAGCAATTGAAAATATATAAATTTTCATGCCCACAAAAACCTACTTTTAAGAGTGAATTTAAATCATCATCATCATTCCGAGCCTTAGACTCAGGTCTTAGTGACTCCTTCCATTTCTTAGGTTGGTCACGGCTTCTCCTCCTTTTCTCTTCTGGATTAGAAATGCTAGATGCCTCAACTTTTACATTTTTTCTTGATATTGGTTTGTCTTGTTCATAAAAGTCATCTTCATAGTCATCTTTCTTTGTTCTTTCCAACCATGAATTGTCCATATCATCTTCATATGTAGATGAAGGTACTACTCCCATGTTCAAGGGTAACATGGTTGACTCCCTCAAGTTCAATGTTGAAGAGGAAACATCTTTCTTGGAGTTGTTCCCTTTTGAAAGACTTTTCACTCTGTACTTCATAGATATATTTTCAAATCTAAGTCAAAGTGGCTGGAAAAAACTAACCCATGATAAGTCATTACCACAAAACCATAACGATGAGAGATTACCGGTCAGCATATCTCAATGTGTTGAGTGTATGTTCACAGGATCCAGAGTTTGGCGAAATGCAGGATATCATTACAGTTCTACTGTTTCCAACAAACGAGTCCCTCAGGACTTCTGTTAGCTTACTGCCTCTAAAGGGTATATGGCCTTGATCATTGTCAAGAGCTCTAATGCATTCCTTCAGTGCTAGCAAGCTTTTATTGATCTCTGCTCCTTCGATTCTACATAGAAAACGAAACAAAAATGAAAAACATACGGGTTCTAATGTTTGATTTGAAAAAACAAGGGTATCATTACTCATTAGGGCTTAAATATGTTTGTCTCCACAACTCCAGCGTGGCTTTTCCCATGGTATTTCAAAAACCTACATACTAGTATTTATTTCCATATAGCTAGAGACTTAAATTAAAAGTGGTAGTGATCTTTTTTGCTTAGCACCAACTCCCCTAATAAGTTGCTGATGAGATACAAAAAGTTGACATGGAAATGATAGAACCCATAAGCCACATCAGTTTTCTTAAAAGAGGTTGACAGAAAGGGACTAAAGGAAAACATTATTTAGAGGAACAAATAACAAAACATTATGGTGTATCTTAGAGGAATCTAAAGAAAAAACCGTTCCATTTGCATGCACAAAAAATATTCAAACATATAACTAACTGCACATGATGAAAGAAACGCTCAAGCAAATGGATGAACTTGAATATATTATATATCTCAGATAAATAAGTAGGACTGGACCTGGTTTGTTTATCATTGTCAGTAGTGTCTGCACCACGCTCACTTCCTGCGAGGTCTATAAAAGACAGTTTTCCAACAAGTCGGGCAGGTTTGGATTCACTCGCATCAGCTGACTTCTTGATAGAAAGCTGAAGTATAGCATGTGACCTTGAAGATTCCTCATTGGCACCAGTTATTCCTGTGCTCCTAGTTGCATTCCCTCTGTCTATGAGCTCTTTAATCATCTCCACGTCAGAGACTCTGTACTCTAGTAAGCCCACTATACATACTTGTTGTTTAGCATCCTCTCTCATGCAAAGTTTTCTGAAAAAGTAAGGATCAGTTATCACGAAAGCAGATATCTAGGGTTCATTTGGTTGTGTTTTTTTTTATTTATCCAATATGGTTTTATGAAGTGGGTTTGAAAAAAAAAAGACGGTTCTACGAAACAAAATATAACTTTTGGTAACATTATAAATCAAATTTGACTCTAATTTATGAAACAAATGTGTATCTCAAAGGAAGTTTTGAAAGAATCTATTAAATGTTTCTTTCAAAGGCATCTTCGAGTGTGTTTTTGACTTGTATGTTTACCATAGTCACCCAAGCATCATTTTACATGTAGAATTGGATCTAACTCACAAAATATTTTACAAGATGTGAGATTCACTTAGAAAACCAATGTGGCAAGCCAATTGAATGAGTGGACAAATGGATAAAAGCGACCCACCCAAACAGGCTGCCTAAACAATTGTGCCTAAATCCGCACAAGTCACAATGGGAGCACGCTTTGATACCACATCAAATTAGTTCTTACACACCCCAAATTTATCATCGAGAAGTGAGGTTTCCCTCAAGATTGTATACTACACTCAAACCTATAGAAAATAAACAACAACAACAACATTACCCCAGTGCCTCAACGGCTCCCGCCCATTGCGGGGTAAGGGGGGGTCGGATGTACACTGACCCCTATGTTTGAAACATAGAGTGGCGGTTTCCAGATGACCCATGATAAGCGTCGAAAGTTGCATTGACTAACTGCTACTTCACAATTGCAAGAAGCATAGACAGTTTAAAGAGCCAATTTGCTTTATTCCATCATGCCCCAACGCCAAAAAAAGTGGAATTTTGGCTCCACAGGGTAATGAAAATAAAACTATAGAAAATCAACATAACATAAAAACACTTACTTCCGATCATTGAGAAGGTCAAAGAGTTTTCCTTGATATATCTCAAAGAAGCTGACAAACAATTGAAAGCCATGGTTCCGGTAAGTATAGTGCATGAGACTCAAAATGTCCCTTGATGCCTTCAAAGGCAGTGGTTTCATTGTAAATGTCTTGCCACTTCCTAAAGAAGATTATAAGGACAAGAAAATCATGGACATGGAAAAACCAAGCAGTAGTAAATATTTCTAGGAGCATACATATTTGTCACAAACAAAACATGGATGACATATGAAAAATAGCACACACCATCAAGAATGATGGAAGCTTGCTTAAACTTATTTTGAAATTCATGATGCTCTTTAGGGGGTTGACAACTTTCTTTTGCAAAAAAAAAGTGGAATATGTGCTATTATAGTACCACTGCTCTGACACTGACCAACCTTGAAGTTTATGTGGTTCTTTTTAGGTGTATCATGCTTCCGTGGGATTCTACTGGGCTGTTGTTGTTCTTTTAGGTGTATCATCGTGATAAGATTGCTCATCTAATCTTAATATTTTCTATAACATAAGGTTTGGAGTTTTCACCTAAAAGGTCAACTTGATATAAAGGTAGTCCACGTCTTGATATGTTGATTGTATTGATGTGCGATAACTTTATAGTTACATTAGTTAGTAGTAACTGCTTGAGAATATTAACACTAGGAATTTCTTTTAGTAATTGAAACAGCAACTGTTTGGCAGTCCTTGTTTACAAGTTCTAAAACTTTACCTGTTTGCCCATATGCAAAACAAGTGGCTTTTGTGCTTTGAAAAATTATTGGAACAATTGGCTCCACAGTCTCACGATATACCTACACAAAAATGTAGCAAACAAGCATGGATTCATAAACTGATAAGTTGGTGGTTTGTGATTTAATCATCAAATTTGAATTTATAATCACCTCATCATTTGAAACCTCCTCGTTCAACACTGCATCAAAGACAAACTCGTGATTCTCAACATATTGTGTCAAGTCAACCTGTTTAGTATGCTCATGAATCAGAACTTCAATTCTTTCAAAGGGGAAAATAAGAATGAATGAGTATAGAAGAAGAAATGTACAAGTCCAAAAATGCTTCATTAGTTAATTCACGAATCTGGATTGTGCTGAATGAAATGGCCTAATACATATAAATGCCAATGATTTGGTGAAGCTTGTGCTTTTTAAGTTTACCCAAATTATACTATTCGCTATTCATTCATGTATTGTTTCCAATTTTTTTAAAAAGAACAGTTTTTGATATCTTTTTTGTTTTTAAGTTTATAGTTTTTTGTTTTCTAGGAGTTTTTTGCACAAAAATAATACGGAGTATATAAAAATTGGTTAAATAACTTTTAAATAATTTTTTTAGACTAACTTGAATTTATAAAAATAAAAATAACTATGTTCGATTATCCAGTATCTTTATTTGTGAAAATTATGTATTAAAAGAAATTAAAATAATAAATAATGACTCTAAAAGGCTTCTGTTCTATTAATGTGAAAAAGGACATAAAAATTGGGTTGATCATGCCAAAAACTGTAAATGCATTATTAACTAATCAAGTTAATGAGTAGTCAATTTATGTGCATGTTTATTTTGTTGAATTTAAATTTCATCATACAACCGTAGTTACAAAGAAATTGTATATCTACTGCAATGTAGTGAGTAATTCATTTCTAGTTAGGTAACATAGAAGATATCTTAGATATGTAATGTCAGTTCACTTAGTGAACAACTCACTTGTGATAAGTAAGCACATAACTTCTTTGAGAAATGGTTCTACGTTATTCTATACTTTAAAATTTCTTTACAAAAAAACGGAAAAAAGACAAAATTCAAGAAAATATTTAAGATCTGATGCTTTTATCTGCAATTTTCATAAATACTAGCCGTTTAATACCCAAACATATCCGTACTGTATTTAAAAAGTCAAAGCATGTTTGACCCAATCATTGGCCATTTTGAATTCCCAACATGCCAAGTTATGCCCAAACAAATTTTAGTCCATTTTAATTCCTGTCCCTAATATAACTCACAGAGCAAAAATATATTTATGTCAATTCATGCATTACTATTGCTTTTGAGGGACACGGACCTTAAGTTTTGTCTCGTGAACTACGACTGAGTTGCTACGCATTTCAATGATGTCGTCATCATTCTTTGCCAATTCTTTTTTGTTCATTGGTCGTTTTCGCACCTGCAATTATCACCAAACATTTGCAATCACATTAAGAAATGGCATTAACTATATTTTATATAGCAGCAAATTCTAGAAAATAAATAAGTGCTTTAGAAGAATAGAAGGCAAATGATTGTCAGCTCTATTATATGATTAATGTAGGCATGTCGTCAAAGGTCCAACTCAAAAGTGAAATCCAAAAGAACTCTCAAGACGAGGCAAACATGATAACTATGAGTCAGGTTGTGTCTCATACATATTAAAACTAAGTGGTGGGCTAAAGCCATAAGAGATGATTGTCCAACGTTATTGAATGGTTCAAACGATGTGAAAGACTCTTCAATATTTATCACAAAAAAGCAAATAGCAAGCTTCATAAACTAAAAGAAAAAAATTAAACAACGGAACCTCCTAATACCATAAAAGACTAGACAAAACATACCACTACTTTGATCTTCGCAACACTGCTAGACTTTTCTTTATCAGCAACAAAGCTCTTTGTTACATTCATATCTGCCAAGCCACGAACTCTTCCTGTTTGCTTATTATTTACAAAATATGACTCCAAGTCATCAAAGCTTTTCCCTTGAGCAGAATTATGCACAGAAGGAGCACCATACTGCCCAGCATCTGGCATCTACAATCAGAAGCACCAACACAATATAATACAAAGTCCGCAAAGAAATTAAAACAGGTTTTTTGGGAAAATCCCATTTAGCTGTGGTTATGAACTAATGTGGTCTGCTTGTAAGAAAGGATGCCAAGTGAGAAATTGAGAATAGGTCGGTGCTATTTGCACCTAATTACCCAATTAGTAAACAGTATATACACTCTATTTCTTACTTTACCCTTCCTCCAATCAGATAAACCAAAGATAGCTCTATCTTAGTATGATGATTCTAAAAGAATACTCCTCATCAGTCATTCCATACTTATAAAAACAACAATTATACCCCCATATTTGGATTCATCTTCCTCACCCAAAACCTAAATTATTTCGGACTAAATTTCTACAGCCACTTCTCCCATAAACCCCACCAATAGCTTCCCTCGGGTATACAAATAATACAATTACCTTCCCCACTATCACATCACCATCACCTTCTCCACCTTCTCCACCATCATCTTCATCAACACCTTCGTCGAGCTGCTCCCAGCCTCCAACTCTGCACTACCTTAGTTTTCCGATCAGAGGCACTAGGGTTTGATTCGATCGCGCGCTGCTCTTTATCTCTAATTTTTGCCGGCTGTACGGTTCTTCCCGTACAGCCGGCTGTACGGTATAATTTGCGAATAACACATAGCATTGTTGATATTTAATAGACCAAAAATAGAATCAAAAGGATGCAACTTTACCAAAACAGTATGAGTATGAATCATACCTCGGGAAGAAGCTCAGTATCCAATGAGTACAGATCTAAGAGCCCCGGACTGAACTCATTAGGTTCATTCCCATTCTTCCTCTGGCCGGACGGCCGAGGATTGGCTGGCGGAGTCAGCGGCTCAGCAAAAGCACCACTTCCTCCACTCCTCTGAAGACCACTTTGCACCCTGGATCCCTGATTTCCGCCGTTTCAAGGCCCCATTCCCAAAACATTGCATCAATACAGTATAACCACAACTCGTCAGATTAAAAAAGGAACTTAAATAGTTGCCCAATTGCAGCAGGGATCCAAACCTGTGAGTGATGAACGGAGTTGCTTGAGGTCTGAAGATGCTGAAGACCAGCTGATTGAAGCCATTTGCCGTTCGACAAAGTGTCCAGAAAGTTGTCGGAGTACTGCCGCTGATGATGCGCCGCCGCCGCCGCACCGGACCTCTGCCTTCCCACGGCGGCATTCATCTCTCTCACTTAAGTTTGACCGGGATGCAAATATACGAATGTCCGAAAAGTATCCCCAATCAAATCTGTTCCATTTATGCTTTCTTGAAGCAATGAGTCATCATCTCATCACCGAAACTCTAAAAATGAAAGGAAAAAAGGAATAAATTGAAAATCAACCCAAAGTTGTAGAATCAAACAGATTTGAGCTATAATGGAAGTTCAACGGCTCAGATTAATGGAGTGGGGGCATGTATGTTGTTTGCTCGACTCCATTTTTGTACTGTTGAAATTTGGAGTGAGATGGCAATGGGTGACTGATGGTGAATGGATTTTTTAAAATTGGTGAGAACGTGACCACCATGCCCTCCATCACCATCATGTGAGGGGCATTTCCTAAAAAGAAAAAAAAAAGAGAAGGGGTCACCATTTGGTATACCCCAAATGAACACCACCTCCTTCTCCACTATTTATTTTTATTTGATTTTTATTTATTTATTTTTTTGAATTTCTTGTCCATTTATGTGGACAAGGAGGGGGTGGGGGGCAAATGAGGTACACCTTTGGTGTACCCTGACATTTTTCAAAAAAAAAATGATAAGCCTCATCCTCAACTGCTCTCACAGACCTGGTCAAGCATTCATTGAGATAAAATAAATTAAATTTTGATAAGAAATTACCCTAAATAGGATTAAAATATAGAGAAAATATCAAAATAGGAGCTTTATGTTTTAGTGTCTAAATATGAGTTTGCATTGTAGTAATGTGACACTATACATGTGCATTTTACGTAATGTATATGGTCATGATTGGTAATGTAAATGCATTTTAACTCTTATTTCGAGAATAAAAATATGGAACTCCTATTCTGATATATTTTCAATGTTTCACTCCTAATTTATTTTTTTCCTTGATCACAGATTCATGATAAAGAATAGAGCCTGCATGTGGTACATGTAGAGCTTTTATGCTTAACAAAGTTCGCGCCCAGTGCAGTTGCAAGGTATCAAATTCGAGTCTTAGTCCTTTGGCACTTCTTATCTTTGTCAACTGCGCAACGTCCATTAGCATCATTTTCTGAAAGAAAAAATAAGGGTTGCTATATGCCTATATCCACTTATTTGATCTTAAATTGATAATTTTATCCTTTAAAGTATAAAAGAGAAAGTTTAGATGCACGCCAAATTTAAGGGTAAATTTGTACATTTAACACTAAAATGGTAGATTTAGCCAAAATTGGTGTGAATATAGTAATACCCCAAAAAAATATGCCCTTAAATTATACTGACTCTATCTCTGAATATTTGTTCACTTTGACTTTTTGTATTTAAAATTGACAAGCTTTGACCATTAATTAAATAAAATTGATATTAGATATTGATATAAAATTGTTTTAATGAATTTATTTTATAAAATATTTTAAAAAATTGTTTCACATAATTAATATATCATATACGTAGTAACTTTTATTTAATTATAAGTCAAGGTTGAACATTATTGACTACAAAAAGTTAAAACTAGACAAATACTCAAGATGTGGTAAGTTTTTTCATGTTTTTCTTCTAAGATTTTGTTTTATTTTTATTTTTTAGTGTTAAAATTTATTACAATGTTGTATCCATTCATTTCTTTCAAGATTTTATAGTGAATTATTCTTTGTCTTTCTTTAAAAAACACACTTTAGTTCTGCAAAGAATAAAAATGTTGAAAGTAAAAAAAAATACTCCATCCATCCCAAAATGATATTTTCTATTCAAACAACGTGTAAATCGTGTAATTTCGAAATGATTTTCTTTATAATTTAGTAATAAATATATACAACTTACATATTTTAAAATTGCATACAAAATTTCAGGTGAAAAAATATATTTTATTTTATTAAATAATCAATGAAAATATACCATTAAACAAAAGTTTTCGAGGGACTATAATAATAAAGAAGTACGTCAGTTTTGGCATGGATGGAGTATAATGTTAGAACTGTTTAGAACTTTGCCACTAATTCTTCTGGCTTAGAGGTTGCCGCATGGGTGATAACATGGTCACTCCATACATTTTAAGGAAATGAAAAGTTTATAATTGGGAATTCTATAAAAAGAAAATTTTCATTTCAACCAAGATTGCTTTTGGAAGATCAGTCATGAAAGTTTTCACTTTTTTGATTGAATATAAACAAAACTAATGCAATTTTTTTTATTTACGCAGGAAAATCTCAAACATAAAATTAAACAGGTCAAACTGTCAAAGGACTGATGAATTTGGAGATGGCAACATGTGTTTTCAAAGCAGTTTATGAACAGTGACCGTTATGAGTGATTTGATCATGCAATATCGAATGCTCATGTCAAAATTTGAAGCGAGGGGGGAGTGGAGAAGTAATGCTACTATGTTTGGTTAAGAAATTTCTTTACGATATTGATACACAAAATTAAATAGATGCAACTACAAAGGGAAGTGATTATTCCGAGGATTAAACTTTATCTTTTATAAATTATAATTAGTTTTTTTAGGCGAGCGTTTTATAAGCTCCTTCGAGGGTTTCTTTACGGTTCTCTACCTCGTCGCTTTTTTTGAACCGTCATGATATTAAATGTAGTTGTAATATTCATCTTTTCTTCATTTAAATAACAACTACATTACTAGAAATCATAAAAATTTATAATTTTTTTTACATTACATATAATATCATAGTATTATTCATATATTAGGTTTAAAAAAATCCGAGAACCGGCCCAGAAATGGCTCTGGAACCGTTGGTTCTGAAACCGGCTTTACCGTTGTTGGTTACGGTGCTATTAGGCGGCGGCATCGGAACCTGAATTGCACCGTGTGCACCCCATATTTAACACATTGCTACTTCAACCGATCAAAATAGTTTACTCTCATACTCGATTACTCCTTCACTCCCGTCATGTTACACATATTTTAATATCTTTTTTATTCGTCAAACACGTCATAACACATAAAATTAAATCAGAAAAACAACAAAGAGTAGGGTGTCAGGCCGGTACCATTCCGTTTCCGTCTCACGGTTTACCAAATCCGAGCAGGCAAAATACAGAAGCTTCTACGCAACGCCACACTGCACCAGAAATTTCTAGATTTCTCTAAACCCCACCCTCAAATCCTCCATTCCCCCCACCTCCCCAATCTTCCCTTCATCCCTTTCCTATTACCAATTACCATCGCTAACCATTTCACGATCGCCACTCTCCACTCTCTTCTCACGCAGGGTATCGCCGATCACCGATCATCTTCCGGTTTCTCTCACGCATTGCCACCTTGCAAATGGCGGAAGACGGTGCCGTCACGGTCTACAGCGGCAGCGCTATCACAGATGCGAAGAAGAATTCTCTGTCCATCAAGGTCGGGATCGCCCAAACCCTCCGCGGCGGTGCCATTGTTGAGGTCACTACCGTCGAGCAGGCCAAGATCGCCGAGTCAGCCGGAGCTTGCTGCGTGATCGTCTCCTCTCCCGCCTCTCCCGGGATTGGGCGGATGCCAGATCCGGCTATCATCAAGGAAATCAAACGGGCCGTTTCAATCCCTGTTATGGCGAAGTCCAGGGTCGGGCATTTCGTGGAGGCTCAAGTCCTAGAGAGCGTCGGAGTAGACTACATAGATGAGAGCGAGCTCCTGGCTATCGCCGACGAGGATCATTTCATCAACAAGCACAATCTCAGAGTCCCATTCGTTTGCGGCTCGCGGGATCTGGGAGAGGCTTTGAGGCGAGTGAGGGAAGGGGCGGCCATGATCAGGACCCAAGGGGACCTCACAGGTTCAGGAAACATAGCAGAGACCGTCCGGAGCGTGAGGAAAGTGATGGGAGACATTAGAGTCCTGAACAACATGGATGAAGATGAGGTTTTCGCCTTCTCGAAGAAGATCTCCGCTCCTTATGACATTGTTGCGCAGACGAAGCAAATGTCTAGGCTTCCAGTTGTCCATTTCGCTTCAGGTGGGATCACCACCCCTGCGGATGCCGCTCTTTTGATGCAGCTGGGCTGTGATGGAGTCTTTCTGGGTCAAGAAGTGTTCAATTCCACTGATCCTTACAAGAAAGTGTGGGCAATTGTGCAGGCAGTGAGAAACTACAATGATCCACACGTCCTGGCCCAGGCGAGCAGTGGGTTTTAGGGTCGAACGATTGTGTTCTACACTTCCAGTAGAAGTTTTCTTCATGAAAATCGCAATGAAATAATATGAGTTGTGTGCCCTTTGTTTGTGTATGTTTAATATACATGTTTCTGTCTTGTTGCTTAACAAAAATCAAATTGCACTTGTTGCTTTAGTGATAACTTCTGCTCTTTTTCTATATATACTTGCTTCTGTATGAATAAGATTCTTGGCCTCGTCTAAATCATCATCCCAGTAATTTTCATTTGAAATGTTTGTACAGACAAAAAGCCTTCTACCAATTTGATTCCTTTTGAAAATCCGACATTATTTGCTTGTTTGAGCTAAATTTAAGGTGGGTAAACATCATAGCTTTCTATTAGTTGATGTTGGAGCTGGTTAGGTTATCACTTTCCAGAGCTTGTTCCTATGAGATGAGTTGGGACAAAAAAAAGGATGGGTTTGGGTCTTCTTAATGGTTTGCAACATCATGTTTAGGAGATGGATTAGGCTCGAGTGTCTATTCCCGTTCAAGAAACGTCCATTTGAGCCCACGACTACGGTTGTGCGTGCGAAGTAAAACATCGCATTTTGAAGATGGCATTGGATGAGTTTTAAAGCGCAATATAAGAATGTCAGTCTCCATTCCTAGCACATTGGCTATACATCATCAATTGTTGCTTAGAAAGTTCTACTTCCAAAACAAAAGAAGACTTCTTGTCTCTAGCTATGCCTTCTACATCTCTAAATACTCTTGTAACAAGGGACACCATACATTGGAGGGCTGATATTCTAATCCTCTGCATAGATTGCTGCATGATTGTTGGTGTTGGTGTTGGTGTTGTTGTTAGAGATGCACCTTAGAGCAGTCTCATAAGCTGTGAAAATGGCACCATTCACTATGAATGCTCTCGTGACTGCCGTTCCAAGGCCTCGCCAGAGCACCATGTGTCCCTCTTCTTTCACAATCCTTCTGAAGCAGTCCACAATGCCGTTGTATCTTGGAGGAGAATACAAAGACTCGGATTGAGCCTGAAGTCTTGTTTTGATCACATCAAGGGGGTAACAGCAGATCCAGCTGGCAACCCCCGCGACACCACCTGCCACAAGCATGGTTTTGACAGTCTCTTGACCGCTGATCCGGCATCCCGGGTGGAGCTTCTCTCTCATGTATTCGTACGTGCAGAAGTACCATCCGTGAGCTGGCGCGTCTCTGAGGACGGTGATGGTTAGACCACGGTACATTCCTCTCAAACCTTCTTGTCTGAATATTTTCTTGGCGACGTCTATTGGACCTTTGTTGTGAATTGTGACTGATGATGATGATGATGATGATGATATGTTGTCATGGGGTTTCTGCAATTGCAGGCGGATTTTCACCAGCTCAACTGGACTGAGGATCAGGCTCTGGATGGCTCCTGTTCCCATTCCGCCCAATGCGACTCCTTTGTAGGAGGGTGGGCTGCTGGGTGGAACGTCCCTGTCAAATGCCCTTGACAACAGTGCATATATCTGGAAGACCATGGCGTTCTGCACCACCATCAAAAACCCACACATTTGTGTCACATATTAGACACATTTTAAATCAGACAACAAATCCAATAGAATACGGCAACAAAGTTGGATCTCGAAAAGGTGTGTGAGCAAACCTTACCCCATTTGAACATTTTTAATCACGCTATTGTGTTAGATAATTAAATTTAGTCAACTACAATTTCAACAAGTTTACATATGCTCAACCAAATTGGTTGGTACATTACACGTATGTGCCAAACAAGCTCTTGATCTCAAAGTGCAATAATATTTTCATTCCAAGACCATAGGTATACTACAGTAGCTACATGTTATTTTGTGCACCCAATTCCTGAACTGTTTTGACCATAGTTATTTTACTCAATGAATATAATTCATCTGTCCCACAATAAATGTTACTCTTTCATTTTCGGCTAAATAAATCGTTACGGAGTATTATATACTTTCACTTTTTAACAGTTTACTTAAACTCCGTGGGGTTTAATTTGGGAAAGGAGGGAGTATATGACAAGCTGAAACCTAAACAGCATTTTCTCAATATTCAATCACTTTTTAATGGCAGGTTAAGATGGATTCATCATTCATGAATACCATGCATTTGTTACCCATCTGTCCCTCCAAAAAAGAAAGTTCAAGCTTTTCTTTTCTGCCTTTCTGAAAGACTTTTTGCGTCATTTATGCCTGAACTTCTCACAACATGAATTCCCTCTCTCTTTTAAGAATGTTGCACTGATAGTCTCTCTGTACCAAATTTCGGAGTGCGTTAATCATACGTTCATCTAGTGCAAGTATTGATTCATCTAAATTCATATACCACACGTGAGCTCTGCAATATCTCCTTCTCAAATACTCCGTATTATCTTCAATGTTTTTAACCTCTACAAATCGTAGATAATTATTCTTGATTTAGTCGTCAGTAACCGAATTCGAAGGTCGAACATCAGTCGATAAAGCTCGTAATCAATCGATCAACCCCTTCTTCAATACCCCCTAAATTTTTTTAAAAATGTTGTACCGATAGTTCTTCTGTGCCAGATTTTGATGGAATCTGAGTAACTTTTGAAAAGTTCAAGGGTAAATGGCGCAAAAAACTCTTTCTTGAAATAAGAATCTCATTTCATTTTAATGAAATAATGATGTAATTTATTTAACTCTGTATTTCTCTATACTCAACAAATATTTTCTTGTCATTCAAATTCAATGTCATATCATGAAATATGAATCATGACATGAGACACCTACAATATTCTCTTAGATCCAAAAATAGTTCTTATGTTTCTAATCACAAAACTCGATGTCCCATCATCCTCACTCTGAGAATTTAGGAATGGTCGAAACCATTTTCGGATCCAATGGAAAATTGTAGATGATTCAAATGCTTCAATGTCTGGTCTCCAGTGTCAGGTGTCGCGTATTTCAATTCTTAACATATAGTGTGTGTTTGGCAACAATTTCAAGATTGGCTTTTATGTTTTGGAAAAATGATCTAAAAGTTGATGTTGATTGGAAATGTTTTTTTCTTTTTGGGACAGGACCATATATAACCTGGGTCCGACCGGGAACCTTTTTTGGAGTAGTTGGAATATATAGATATATATATAATTACCTGGAAGGTGACGGAGGCAAGGGGGGCAGCCATGCCTCTGTAGAGTGGCCGGAGGCCGTCGAGCTGACGGAGAATGGCGAAGGCAGATCCCGCTCCGGCCTGCTGCTGCCGGATTCTGAGGGTGTCGAGGGGATATCCGGCCATGATCCCCACCGCCCCGCCGAATCCTCCCGCCACAAACTCTCTCCCCCAACTGCTGGCGAGAAACTCCGGCCAGAAATCCATCTTTTTCCTCTTCTTCTTCTTCTTTCTTTAACCAGTCCAAAACCATTCATTCATTCAGGGCCTCTCTTATGGTCGCCGTACGTACCTGACGCATTCCATTTCTTCTGCTCTGTGTTTTTTGAAACTTGATTTGAATGAATGAGAAATAATGGACACTATATGTCTCGTCAAAGATTATCACAGTAAATATTTTGATTCATTGTTTGATTTTTAACCGCGAGGGCGATGGAATGAGTGCAGGTACGTACGGTAGAGGCGCAGGGTCGGTTTGGTGGGTGGGTAAAATGCCAGCGGGAGGTGTTTTGTTGGGATGGGAGCGAGAGGTAAAGAGAGGAAACGGCCAAACACGGACTGCGTCTTTTTTCATGCGCACCCGTGTATTTCATGTCACTCCATTAAATAAAAAAAACCCCGTCTTTTTTCTTCTTCTTCTTTTTGATGAAAACTTCTAGTAATGCCAAGTACACGAATATATTCATTTTTAGAATATAAATTACTCCCCATCAGTCCCAAAATGATTTTTACTATTTTGATTTTGAGTTAGTCCATTCTAGTGATGTATTTTTTCAAATTAATCTTCAATAAATTTTAATTACCTACATGGTACTTATGATTGATATTTATTCCCTTACTAGTCTTTCGTAGAAAATGTAACTTAGATGTTGATTAAGTAAAAGATATTTTGGTACTTTTTATCATTTAAACTTAGAGTAAGTTTTCAAAATAATTATTTTTAATGAAGTATTTTTATAAATTGGTCTTTTCTAATTAGGGGGTATTTGATTCAAAATTTATAATATTTTGGCAAGTTTTTAATAATTCATAAATTATGTATTGTTAATGATTGTTTTAATTTTACATGAAATTGTATAGAAATAACCATTTTAAAAGTTTAATTTAAATTTTAGATAATTGAAATACCAAAATATCCTTCAATTAATCACAATTTAAGTGATATTTTTTTTACGAATGAGTTGATAGGGAATAAATCTCAATGAGAAAAGGCTAGAGTCACAAACACTTTGGTCACAAAATACTCAAACTTACCATTTTTGTATTTAAATGTTTACTTTTTAATTATTTAACACCATTTTATTCACTTGGTAAGGTGTAAAAATGGCAAGGTTGTGTATTTTGTGACCGAAGTGTTTGTGACTCTAGCATTTCTCAATCTCAATTATAAAGTGCTTCCTCCGTCTCGCCATTTTGAATAGTATTTAGTCAAATATTTTCACGTTTTGACTACAAATTGTGAGAAAGGTATATTGAATTATAAAATAAATTTAATATAATTGGGTTCATCTTAGGATCTAGTTTTGATATCTCAATTCTTTAATTTATGGTCAAAGTGTGTAACTGTTTGACCAAAAATACATCAAAATGGGAACTTTTTTGCGAGACGGAGGGAGTATCATATTGTCATATACTCCCTCCGTCCCAGAAAACTTTTCTCTATTCTTTTTTCATCCGTCCCAGAAAACATTTCTCATTTCTATTAAAAAGTCACTTTTATCCCTTACTTTTTCATACTCTACCTATCAGATCATACCTTTTTACTAATAATTTTTTCATCAAATCATACTTTTACCCATCACATCAAAAGACATTTTTGGAAATCCAATACCAAAATACAGTCCCTTTAAATCCCCCTTCACAATCAAAACTTCCATGTTTTCTGGGACGGAGGGAGTATGTAATTAGAAATTATTGAAGACTAATTTAAGATTATAC